TCTCGTGCAGGAGGTTACGGCTGCGGGAGGGAGGGTTTGGTGCTCTGGCCATGCGTCCCCTCGTCCGATGTGCCCTGAGGTCTCTGCCTCTGCTTTGGCTGACGCCCCTGTGCTGGGGCGGTGGGGGGCTTTTATAAGCACAAAGGAGGCGATGGCGAAAAAATTGGCAACCTTGACCTGATCAAGACTTCAAATTCCTGCCAAGCCTCTCCTGGAGGGCAAACGAGCTCCTGGCTGCTCTGCGTGGAGCAGGGGAAAGGGTTAGGGGCCGGTTTGCTGGCGGAGGTGAGCGGGCTGGTACCACGAGGAAGAGGACAGGCGTTTATCGGCGCGACATGGATGTCGTTCTGCACGCGTCTGTCTTTGCAGCGGTTCTGCGCTGATGCACAAGTGGTGCAGGAGTCGCGCGGCAGGAGGAGCTGGGCTTCAGTCTGAAACACAAACTCTGTTGTCTCTCAGCTTTGAAGCAAGAAATATGTGGGTTTTGGGTGGATAGGGAGGCTAACTTGAAAAAAGCTTTAGCAAGAGCGGGTGTCAGGTCCTCGTCTCAACTACTCGGTCTGCTTTAATGCTCCTTTGCAGTTCTGCAGGGTATGTGGGGTTTTTTAACTAAGAAAAGCTCAAAGCTCTTCCTAAGAGGAGGAACTAAATACCAAACGCATCATCTCTGTGTAGCCAGAGCTGAAATGAATCTGTCTGACAAATCTCTTCGCAGCGATGTCCTTGCCCTGCCCATCTTCAAGCAGGAAGAATCGAGTTTGCCTCCTGAAAACGAGAATAAAATTCTGCCTTTCCAGTACGTGCTGTGTGCCGCCACTTCCCCCGCCGTCAAGCTCCATGACGAAACACTCACTTATCTCAACCAAGGTGAGAGAAGCCCCATGCCCTCCGCAGGCCGTGTGCGCCTCGGGTAAACACCCTAAAAAGTAAAATTCTGCCTTTGGGAATTTCCCCTTGGGAATGGAAAGCGCCTCGATAGTAAACCCCAGATTGCTCCTGTATGGAAGCACCACCTCCTTCGCCTTGCTGCCTGCCCTCTGCTTATGGCGGTGAATCACCCGTAGGATTTAACCTAATTAAAATCTGCGCGATGTAAGGTGGTTAACTGGTGTATCCGTGCTGGGGTGCTCTGCAACGGGTGTGTTTTACAGGTTCAAGCTGTACCCGCTGCTTTCAAGTAGAACTGGAAGATCAGGGTTGGCGACCAAAGCCAGATAAAGCTTGTGTAATCGATTTCTTCCCTGTTCTTGGTCTTGGGTTAATAAGGGTAATTCCTGGAAAGTACTGCTGCAGGAAAGGGGAGGATTATCTATTCCTGGAGAGGGGTGTTAGAGCTGTGGCTCTAATGGCTTGTGCTCGTATGACCCCTCACTAAAACATGGCAAGAAGATCAAGTGGCATATCTAGTGTGGCAGAAAAAGACGTCAGAATGCCAGAGGAGAGGTGACAGCGAAGGTCCACCCCCGACTAACCGCAAGGTGCCCTTGTCTTCTTTCCCTCAGGGCAGTCCTATGAAATCCGGATGCTGGACAACAGGAAAATTGGGGAGCTGCCAGAGATAAATGGGAAACTGGTAAAGGTGAGCAGAGAGCGCAGGTACGCTTGTCCAGCTGGGGCCATCCCCTGCCGTAGGGAGCGGCGAGCGAGGTCTTGTCCTGCGTTCCTGCAGCGGCCTCTGTGACGGCGTGTGTGGGATAGGTCTGGCTTGGTTGGGGGTTCATTTTCCCTTCCCCCTCCTCCCACCTTATTGAGACCAGCCTGGCTGTGGTGTCCAACTGGTCTCCTGGGGACTGGGGTCAAGCCAAGAGGCGATCGCTGATCGCTTAGCGTTTGGGAAGAATAAGCTGCCGCCTTCGTGCTTCTGTCCCAAGGGCCCTTCTGGGCTTTCTTTTATTGCTTTGGCTTCTCCATGAAGCCTTCAGGCCCCTCTGCTCCCCTCTGTGAATGGGAAATGCCTCGCAGCTTGAAGACTGTCGGGTTTCCTGGGGCAGCTCCAGGCGCTGACTGTTTCTCCCCTCTAGAGCATATTCCGGGTGGTGTTTCACGACCGGCGGCTGCAGTACACAGAGCATCAGCAGCTGGAGGGCTGGCGGTGGAACAGGCCTGGGGACAGGATACTGGACATAGGTGAGTCCCCGCAGCAGCACCTTGGCTGGGGCGGGAGATGTGGGTGCCTGAAGTGCCTCCAGCCGGGTTCCCAGTCCCTTGACTTTAAGGGACAAAGTGCTCTCATGATTCTGCACTTGGAGAGACATGGTTGGTTCTTCCATATGTTCCCTGTGAATCTCTTCCTTCTCCTTCTACTACAAACCGCAGCTTGTTCTCCGTATGTGCCCCTACAGATATCCCGATGTCCGTGGGCATCATAGACCCTAGAGCAAACCCAACCCAGCTCAATACAGTGGAGTTTCTATGGGATCCTTCAAAGAGGACTTCTGTGTTTATCCAGGTAAAAGAGGAGAAGTGGGGAAACTCCTGTTGCGGGGGCCTAGGGGAAAAAATAAAAGTTTTCCAAGGGGGAGAGAGATGCTTTTTTGGCTCAGAGCTCTGAAATAGCAGCCAGATGCTACAGTGGTAGAAGGATGTCAACTAAAATACACCCTACCTCCTGCCTCAAGCAATGCAAGAGAGCAGCAGTTTATGCGCTAGCAAGGCACAGGCACAGTTGACCACTAATAAGTTGTTTTACACATTTTTGTGGTGGTTTAGGTCCCGCTGGTTTCGTGATTTGGGTCTCCATCTTGCTTAGATGCTTTTGCACATCTCGCCAGCTCCCTAAAATACCTCTTGGAAGTCTGGCCCTCCCGCCTAGAATAACAGGCTGCAGCGTGTGGAGGCTGGTGCAGCCGAGCTCTCTGCCCTGCTGATCCGGGGCTTGCTTGTAACGTTACGAGGTTGCAAAACGTGTTGGAAGAATGTCGCTCCACCTCTGCTCTGGCATCCCCTTAACTCCTTCATGCTGGGGGTGCTTGGCGTGGTCCCATCCCAGCTCTGCATTTCGCCCTTCTCACCGGGCCGCCCTTTACGCGAGCGCCGTCCTGGCTTCCACGAGGGGAAAGGGAAGTTTTGTAGTCAGTCAAGCACGGCAGAATCGCTAACCGCAGGATGCCTTGCCTTCCCCCAGGTTCACTGTATCAGCACGGAGTTCACCATGCGGAAGCATGGAGGAGAGAAGGGGGTACCTTTTCGGGTCCAGATAGACACGTTTAAGGAGAACGAGAACGGGGAGTACACGGAGCACCTGCACTCTGCCAGCTGCCAGATCAAGGTCTTCAAGGTACCTCGGCCCATGGGTGGCCTTTCCCCGCTAGGAAACAAACTGGGAGTCAGTCCCAAGTCACGCTGCAACCCCAGTGAACACCACGGGTGCAGGACCACGGCCAAGCTTGCCTGCGAAAGGGCCTCTTGGTCCTTCTGGTCTTGCGTTGCCATTCTCTCCCTGGTTCCTCCCTGTCGATTGAGTCTGGATGCTGTGAGGCTACAAAACCAGTAAGCCAAGAACAACGTACAGGGAGAACGTGGACTGTGTTGCCTCTGTCTGAAACCTCCCACGTTTAGTCTTGAGTCTTATCAGCTAGGGAGATCCTCCAAGGAGCTTTGGTGTCTGTCTAAACTCCTCACTTTATTATTACCTGCATCTGATGGTCCGTCTGGATCCGGCCTCTCCAGCGGCGCAGGCGCCTGGTCTCTGTTGCGAATCGTTTGCAGAAACCTAAAGCCACGACCTGGCGGCGGCAGCCACGGCAGCACGATGGCGTGGGTGGCCGAGAAGGGTCACGCGTGCAGCAGCGCCCAGGTGTCGTGCTGCGGGGGCGGCTGCGCAGGGCGTAAGTGGGGGCACACCGTGCCCACGCTGTCTGGTACGCTGAGGTTGCCTCCGTTACCCCGTCCTCCCAGTAACACCGCACGAAATCTTGGCCGTGGCCCCTCTGCTCTTCTCCCTATAGAGGCACTTGGCGCGCAGCGGGGTCGGTTGCCTGGCCGGGCGCCTGTGCTGCTTTGCAGTTCTGCTGTGAAGTTGCTGGGGGATATCGGGCAGCGTGCCCCGCTGCTGTTGACTTGGCATCTTTCCCCTTCTCTCTCTTCTCTTTTGCCTATTTGGATTATAACATTTTGAAGGCCGGGGTGTGATTTGTTAGGGCTTGTTTGAGCTCTGGCTGGTATCTCGATGCAAATAGCCTAAGCGGATGGCTGCGGAGTTGCGAGTTAAGGGATAAGGCTGGTCTCAAACAAGCATCCAGAGGACAGTGAGATTGCGAGGCATCTGGCGCTGCGTTTCTACCGAGCTTCAGCTCTTTGTGCCAGGGGATGGGGTGGGGGTTTTTTTGACTCTGATGACCTTGAACCAGGAAAACCCAAAGCAGTGAAGCTGTGGCTTCAGGGCACGGTCTCCCTGCAGAGGAGGGTCTCTGATGGTCTCAGCCTTATCTCCTGCTCGTTTGAGGCAGCCGCTCTCCTGGTGTCGGGGCTGCTGTTGGGGAGGCAGGCTCAGCACCGTCTGTGTGTTCCCCTGTGCCTGTGTGAGACCTGTTTGCCGTAGGGTGTCCTTTGTCTGTGGGTTAATGTGATTTTGCCTCCTGCCCTGCTCTTTCCTTTCTCCCCTCTGCCCCTCAAAGCTGGTGCTTTCGAAATAGCTGCTGAGGGTCCCTTACCCACTCTCGGTGGTGTCTGGAGCACAGATCCTTTCTAGCCGCCAGAAGCAGCAGCGCTGACCATGGAAAGATAAGCGCAACCATCAGATTTTCATGGCAGGGACTGGCTGAAAGGGCAGGAACTGGCTAGTCAAGCCACAGCAAAGCGGTGCCACTTCGCCCAGCTCGGAGCATGGCGGTAGCTTGTTCAGGTCTCAGTTTTGCTGCCCAGAGGAAAAGAAATTTGGAGCTTGGGGGAGCGGGAAGGCTGTAGTACCTGGCTGTATTTGCAGTAGTAAAGCTTCCCCGCTGGCGCCACGGATGCGGCTCATCCACTTGGGAAGCGTCCGCATGTTGGCAGGCAGCTGTGTTGGTCCACCAAGGCCGAATTCCTTTCCCTTGTGAGTGCAGGGAGAGGAGCCAAGGTAGAGCCCATGCACAGCCAAGTTTTAAGGGAATTTCTTTAGGGTTCTGCCGAGGGGAGCACCGGGATAGCTTTGGTGGTTATAATGGCGCTCTCTTACTTGCTGCTTTCCCCAGGGCTTTGAGCATTTGATAAAGGCAGCAAATAAAATCATTTTAATCTTGCATATGAGAAAGTGCACGGCTTTCCAAGGTTGTGGCAAAGGCAAGGACATAATTGAGTGCTCTGGTGTTCTGGTGCAGTTTGTGCCTCTGAAATGCCGCCTCTCAAAGTGGTTGATGAAGGTGCAGAAGGCGCAGCTCAGATGTGTGACACCAGAAACTGGTCTTTGTCCCCTTTGAGCCAATGTATGTTGTCGGGAGAAGTTTCTTCCAAAAAATGTTTCACCTCCTTGTTCAGATGTTCTGGGCCCCATTTTAAGGGCGTGGGTAGATCAGGATATCGGGGTTGTTACAGAAGCGATGCTGTCGCCATAGTTAATTGTCTGTGCAGTTAGTCCCAGCCCTCTTCCTTTTCCCTCTGTAAAGCAACAAGTGGGTGAGTAGAAGGATGAGTCACCTTTTCTGCTTCTTGCATTTCTTGCACATCTATCCAACCGTCTGCTGCCGCCCTTCCATGCTGCCGTTCTAACAGCAATATCTCCTTTCCAGCCCAAAGGAGCTGATCGGAAGCAGAAGACGGACAGGGAAAAGATGGAGAAGCGAACACCTCATGAGAAAGAAAAATACCAGCCTTCCTACGAAACTACGATACTCACAGAGGTGGGATGCTCTTTTATGCAGCGGCTGGCATCGTTGTTTTAATGAAACCTGGCTTCCCTCGCTCACAGGTGGCAAGGAACTGGCTGTTCTGCCGTGAAACGTTTGGCCAAGTTGTTAATAGCTGCAAGACAAAAGCAAGATAAATTTTGTAGGCAGAGGAGGTGTTTCTTACTAGACCTGGAAAAGGGCTCTTGTGCCTGGAAACGTGATGGTTTTTTCCCCCACTGTAATAGATCATCTGATAAAAGATTTTTGCCTCTCCCTGCAAGCTTCGTTTTGCCCATGTGGCAACTGGCCACCGAGGTTGTGAGCTGTCAGAAAACCCCGTTGTTTCCTCCCTGGGCTAGTGGAAAGCGTCGGTCTGTTCAAATGCGATTTGTCTGAGGGGCCGGTGCTGAACAGCCCTGGGGAGGGAGCCCTCGTCCTGCCCCGGGTGAATTGGGGGACACTCGTCAGTGCCCGACTCAGGCTGGATCCACTGCGTGGCTTGCTGCACGGAGGCGCCCAGGCTGGCGGGCGCCATGTGTGTCAGCCCAGTGCCAGAGCAATGGTTTAGATCCCAGATCTCACTGCATTTGAATTTTGTGACTTTTGGCCTTTTGAGATTAAGAATCACTAAATCTGAGCGTTGTGACCATCTGCAGTGAATTGGCGTGGCTTCTTTCAATCCCCTACTTCATTCTTTAATTCTGTTTCATAGTCGGTTGTCAGTCAGCAAATAGCTGTTAACCTGCGCTGACCAGAGCAGATGCGCACGTTTGCTCAAAGCAATCCTGTGAACTCTTCTGGGTTTTCCTTTCTAGTGTTCTCCCTGGCCAGAGATAACGTACGTCAATAACGCGCCATCCCCTGGCTTCAACAGTTCCCACAGCAGTTTTTCCATTGGCGAAGGGTAAGTCCGGAGAAGAGGCTGGCTGGCTATCGATTTCTGACTTGCACAAGAGATTGATGTGTCTGAGCTGGCAGTGACTGCTAGTGGAAGGAAGGTCCTGCTTCCAAGGTGTACAGGGGAGTGGAAGCAGCCTAAGAGGCTGTGTCAGTGGGGGAAAATCAAATTAAAGCCCTCGAAGCTGAGCGCTGTTACCTCTCCTGACTGCAGCGAAGCTCGGCTCTTGCACGAGAAGCCTGGGCGCATTTGAGCAGCAGTTCATCTTCCAGCCTGCTTCGCTCTGCCTTTCCCCATCGCGTTAACACTCCAACATAAGCCGTTTGTTCTTGCAAAGTATTGCACTGCAACAATAACAGTGTTGCTGCAGCCACGTAGCTGAGTGTCCCTGTGTTTCGGTGGTCTTGGTTATGGGACGTGGAGGGTGGTGGTTGCTGCCTGCTGGGATCCCGTGCCGCAAGGGGAGGAGTGGCGCTAACCTCGTGTTCTGCTCTGTCTGGCTCTTTTCCCCAACCTAGCAATGGCTCTCCAAACCATCAGCCCGAGCCACCCCCTCCGATCGCAGATGTAAGTCACACCTCAGAGCTTATGCTTGTGGTAAGGATGGTGCACAGGTCAGAAAACGGGATTTTGGGATGGAGCGGGGGCGGGTTCGTGGGTGGCTGGGGTTTGCTGGGGAAGAGTCTGCTCTAGTTTAACATCTTTGGGGAGTTATAACTTCTTTTTGACTCTTCTTTGGAAAAAAGAGGTGATGGGGTGAAAAATGTCCAGTACAGTGATGCAGAACTGTGAGCAAGCTTTTTGTAGCTCGCTGTGACCTTTACTTATTGCCTTGATCTTCACTGTGCTTTTCCCTTTGCTTCCTTCCTCTTTCTCTGTCCCTCTGAAGCCTTTTAAATCAAAACCTGTCCAGGCTGCAGCCTTTATTGTGCGTGTGCTGTGAGCCTGGCTCACTAGGGTCTCGATTTAAGACTGTGATTATAAACACTGACTGAGCTGACCTGTGCTCATTCCTCAGCGAAAATGCTTCCGCATCACCTCTGAGGCTGTGACCCTTCTTTTCCTACGTTGCAGAACCTCTTGCCCACCAGCACACCCCAGGAGGCCCAGCAGTGGCTGCACCGAAACCGCTTCTCCACTTTTTCTCGGCTTTTCAGAAACTTCTCAGGTAGGTTACAACATCCCCTCCGTGTCTGTCCCTTCTCTGTGCCAAGTTGCTCTGCCTCCTCTTGCCCTTGAGGCTATCTTCATGTTACCATTGCAAATATAAGTTTTCTAAAATCTCCTATTTTTTGTAACACAATAAAATGTGGCTCCCGGAAAGCTGTGTTCTTCATTTCTCACCTCGCTCTCAACTGGCAAAACAGTGGGGTCTGGGGTGGTTTCTCTTCCAAGAGCTCGCAGCACCCTCTGATCTTAAAACAAGCTGAGAAGTGCTGATCTGGGGGAAAGCACTGTGTGTAAAGAAATGCATCGCGTTTATTTTCCTCTCCTTCCCTGGCGATACGGCCTCCGTTATCCAGGGTCACCGAGGTGCTGGATAGCTGGCTGTAAATGATAATGCGGGACACAGGCTTGTACCGAAACACACTCTTGCAAAACCAGTCTGGAAAAAAACCTTGCGAGCGTTCTTCTGGGGGAAGCAGGGGGAGGTTGTTAGCAGAAGGCAGAAGCAATTTGGGAATGGGGTGAGCTCTGTGAGCAGGAGGAGGGGGAGATGGCACAGCTGCGGTGCCCAGAGCTCCCCCATCCCGCACGCTTTGGGCTGGGTTGTGTGACTTTCTCTCCTTTCGGTTTTTAAAACCGTAGGTGCAGACTTACTGAAGCTGACCAGAGAAGACGTTATCCAGATCTGCGGCCCTGCGGATGGCATCAGGCTCTTCAATGCATTAAAAGGACGGTATGTTGTTTGCTTAAAAGCTGATTGTGGGTGGTAGGTAAACTGTATTTGGTTTAGCCTGTTTGCTTGGCTCTTGCTGTTACAGAGAACAGCGTTCCATTAACCTTCCTGAACCTCTTTCAGTCAAATCTGATAACTTAGTAGCCAGCAGGGTAACCGCTCCAGAGACAATTTGGGGAAGAAAATACATGTGGGAGAGAAGCGTTAGAAGTGATCTTACTCTTTGAGTGTCAGAGAACCAAGCCGCAAGCCAGAAAGTCCTGCCGATACAGTACTTGTTTCTTCTGTCCTCTGGACCACCTCTCAGTGGAATTACCTTCCCAGAAAGGGGATATTCCTTTGCACCTTTCCCTGAAGGAGCAGGGACTGGTGCTTAACTGACCTTCTGTCTGAGCTGGAGCATTTCAGAAGGTGCGGCTGCAGCCGTGTGGAGAGGCGCAATGCACAGGGTGGGCCGTATCCCGGAGGGAAGGTCTGGGGAGGCATCGGCACAGGTCTCTGATGTGGGGCAGCAGGAGCTGTGCAGGTGGGAAGCATTCCAGGGGCTTAATGTGCGGCCTCCGATGGCTCGGGAGATAGCAGGGAAACGTGGTCGCGCCGTGCTGGGGAGAAGGGCACGAAGGACAGGAGATGCTGCCGGCTTTTGCACTGCAAAATGAGACTCTGAACGAGAAGGAGCGTGCGTGTTACCCGCAGAGCTTGGTCTGAACCGTGGCTGCTCTGTCCTCGGGAGTGAACCATCTGATTTAGCTGCTTGGTAGCCAGCTGGCACCGTGTCCCCTTGCCGGCTTCATCCCCTTCTCACAAAAGCCTTTGCTGCATCAGCAGGGTGGGGACGACCATGATGGTTTTGCTTTGAGATGAGTTCGTCGATCTCCTCTTTTCCTTCTGAGGATACTGGGGCGGGAAGAGCGCTGGCAAAGTGTCGGGAACTAGAGATGTCCTTGAGCAAATCCAATGGCGTTCACACACTGCTCTGTCCATAGGATGGTGCGGCCCAGACTGACCATCTACGTGTGTCAGGAGTCCCAGCAGCTGAGGGACCTCCAGCAGAAACACGAGGACGGGGACACAGTAACCAGTACTTTTTTTGGTAAGGGCTTCGAAGCCTGGCTGAGGGCGCGTGGGCTCGGGTTGCTGCCGACAGGGCGAGGGGAAAAATAACAGAGGGTTCAGCAAACAGAAACGCGGTGGGGACTGTTTCCAGCCCCGCTCCTGCTGCCTATGGGTGCTCAGCACCAGTTGCCTCCGATCCCCTCGTCCCCACACTGCTGCCCTGTGGGTTTTGGGCTGGCGAAAGGTCCCTCTTGCAGCCAGGGCTGCTTGCGTTACCAGAGCCCACTGAGCCCGCACAGCAGCTCGAAGAGGGTCTGTGGCTTTTGTTTTCAGCTGCTATGGCTCGTGTTGGCTGCTGTCATGCTTGTCTCTTCACTGCAAGGAGGCAGCGAGCTCACGTGCGAGCTCATCTGCAACTTAATGCAGGCTCTGTACACAAACCGAGGGGTTGTGCACGCTCTGCTTTGGTAAGAGTGCCGAAAGATAGCGGCAAACTCATTTTACTTGCCCTGGTCCTACCCAGCTGATTTTTCTCCTTGCCCACCAAATGGGCGGCTGCAGAATCTGACTGTCGGCATGTTGCCTGCTCTGAGCCAACAAATGATAGCTCCTGCGAGAATCCAGCATTGCCCAGACAACAATGAGTGACCTACATTTGTGGAGCAGCCAGGCGCCGGTTTATCCACCTCTGTGATTGGAGCGGCAAGTGCAAAAGCAAACAGCTTGTCCTTTCCTTGCCCTGCTCCAATTCAGATCCTCTCACTTACCCCCAGGACCTGCCTTGTGGGAGTCGGGGACAGGGAGGGCGCTGGGGAGGTGCTAGGGTGGTGCTTCCATCCTGCTGGGATTGAAAACTGCCAGGAATGGTACAAAATGCTGCTGGGCTGATGCTAGTCGAAATAGAAGCTTTTTGGGGCAAGGACTGCATAAATACAGAAATATTGCAGGACACTGATGACAGCCAAGTTACTGTGGAGCTGATGCTTATGTAGTTCAGGGCACTCTGCAGCCGTGTAGCAAGAGCAGACACCAGAGACCCACTACATGTAGATTTAGCAGCTTGGGCTTGGAAAGATGATAGCTGCATGAGACAGGCGCAGCAGAGCGGGTGTTTAACCTGCTGAAAAGCAACACTCGATAGACGGGCTGTGCACAGTCCCTCCCCAACGGGGCTGTGATGTTCCTGGGCAGAGAGCAGCCTGTTCGCGGCACTCCTCTCAGCATCCATTCCTTAGGCTAGCATGCGTGGCACTAGCTGAAGCATCTCTGCATCCACGGTGTAGACATGGAAGCTGCACTTGGCGTCTAGCTATAATAGTTCTTCTCTTCGCAGTGTACCACGCTATTTATCTGGAGGAACTGACAGCGGTGGAACTGACGGAGAAGCTGGCCCAGCTCTTCAGCATCTCTTCCCAACAGATTAGCCAGATTTACAAGCAAGGTCCGACGGGGATACACGTGCTGATCAGTGACGAGGTAACAGCCTCTGGGTGCTCCTTATTTTCGACCTCTTGCGCTGGGTTGCTTCAGCTGGTTCGTGTCTGATTGTGCGCTGAGCTCCGCTGTGGAGGTTGCGCAGGACCCCGGGGAATGGGTCCCCTGGGCAGGTCTTCGGGAAGGGCCCTGCTCAGTCGCCTCCATTTTCCAAAGGGTTGAAGTTAATCGTTGAAGCCTGTAGAGCCAAGGATGTTGGCGCTTGGGGACGCTGCTCTGCTGCTGAGGACACCTCACTTGAACCCCTGAGGTTTATCAGGCATGAACAGCTCTCCCTGAGCTAGTCCAGGCTGCGTGCACACCCTCCTTCATGCTTGGGTTTCTTCTAGCTTTGCTATAAAAACAGGGAGGGGAATTGCTGTGGGAAGACTTTGCTTTCAGACCTACATCCCAGAATCCGACGGTTTCTCTCTCAGCTTGCTGGTTCAGACCTTCAGTTCTGGAAAGCTGGAGGAAGGAATAAATATTTATGGCTGGTGCCTTTCCTACCTCCCAGAGCACTAAGCTCCTGCCTGAGCAGCTTCTAGCCCTTTCGGTACTCTAAATCTATGCCCATCGCTGAATGGCAGAACACAAAGCCTTCACTTAGGGCTGTGAAGCACTTCTGCTGTGTTTAAATACAGCCTCAGACTAAGCCAGCTTTCGTGGCTTCTTTCAGATGATACAGAACTTCCAAGACGAATCCTGTTTCGTTCTGGACACCATGAAAGGTGCGTAAATGCCCGGGCTCTGTATTTCCCTTCCATATTCCTTGGGGAGCTCTTGTGTCAGATCTGCTCAACCCAGCGGATTCCTTTGCTGTTGCGGGTGGCTCATGAGCTTTGCTTCTTTTGCAGCTGAAACCAATGATAGCTACCACATCATCTTAAAATAGGAGGGGACGGGATGAGGAACACCCGCGATCCTCTTGTCACGCATGAAGACCCTTCACTTCCAGCACAAGGACACGAGCAGAGATCTGGAAACTCCTGGGCACCCTCTGGAAAGACCCCAAGCTGTTGGTTACTCGGCTGTCTTTCTTGCAAGGGACCTCCTTGCTCTGACGGCATCTAAATGGCCGTTGGTGGTAACGTGCTGCTTAATTGCTGGAGCTCTGAGGCTTGAAGTTACCAGGTCGCACTCCCGTGTAGCTCTTGGTAGAAATTTGCCATTGGGACCCAAGACCTGCATGAGGGCTTTTTCTATGGCAGGCGTGCTCTGCTTTTCTGAGAGGCATCAGTTCCTGTGACACTCGCAGACTGGCAAGAGAACATGAATTAAACTGGCCCAACAAAGCCAACTGGCCCTCGGGCACGTGCTGAGCTGAGCAGGTCTCAAATACGCTATGTACTGTGCTGATGGAGTGGTAGGCTAGGGCTGGGAGGGATTTTCTTAAAAGATTTTGTTAAGCTTTCATTTAATATTACAACGCATCTGTTAGACAAAGGTGGTGACTTCATTTTTCTGCTCTCCACCCACCCTGAAAATGGTTGGCTGTGTGTGTGCGGGTGTGGTTGTGGTGCCATCCTTCCCTTGTGAGTCTAAGGCCGTCAGGAACTTTATATAGAGATTTAGTTGTATAAAGCTGGAGCAAAACGTGGAGTGAAGCAAAGCTGGATAAAGAAATAGCTAACTAGCTTCGTCTGTGGGATTCTATTCTGCATGTTTTAGGGAGGAAAAAAAAGACTTGGCTATCTCTGCTGAAAATTTTGAGCGATGTCTACCTGCTGCCTCATTTTCTGCCCCTGCATCCCCCTGTCCCAGCATTGGTGTAGCCCTGCGTGCGCTGAGGAGGAGGCAGACAGCAAGTTCAAAGGGTTATTGAAAGCTGTTGGACTTCATGGTGACAAAAGTGCCTCTGTGTACGTTTCCAGGACAGCAGTGAAGTCTCCGGGGTGAAGGATCTGCCCTGCCTTGCAGGTGATGGATCCTATTCCCCGTCAGTAAGATCCCCCAGTAGAGACCGAGATGCCCAGGGTGTCGCCTGCCTCGAACCATCAGCACTGCCCGAGGACATTTTGAGCCAAAAAATAGGGGGGAAAAATACAATGTAAAGCAGAGCTCTTGTTTTTAAATAAGGCTGCAACAAGATCCAGCGCAAGGCAGGTGATGTAGGTCTGGCTCAGGCCAGGGAGGGCCCGTGGGGTGAGTGAAGGCGCTGGTGGATGCGACAATCGCGACAGCCACGTCCCTGCTGCTAAAATACCGGCTGCTCTTCTGTGTTTGTAAGCCATAAAAGATTCTGTTCCCATCTTCCTCGGCCAGCTGTCTTCTTCCTGGAGATGCAGTCAAGATACCTAGCACAAATTAGAGCTGGTTCAGTCCTGGCCAAACCTTCCCATCCTTCGCTTGCACTGGCCGAGCTCCGGCGGTGGCTGCTTGTGACTCCGTCCTGGTGCAAAGGGCCCCGTAACGTCCCCATCTCCCCCATTGCATGTTACATTGCTTGGTGCACGCTCGCTCCGGCACCAGAGGCAGGACGTAGGTCAGCAGCTCCCCGAAACCATTGTTCAGGACTGCAGCGGCTTCCCCTCACCCCCAAAATTGCTTCCCAGCTGCATCCAGGGGTGGGTAGCATCAGGGTTGGCGAGGAACCGCAGGATCCAGAGTTTAATCCTGGGAATGGCCATAGCCGAGTGCCAGCAGCAGGTATCTGGGATCCTCTCTGCCTGGACTTGTTCGCCCAGGACCGTGTGAACTTGGGGGCCAAAGCACCTGGCCAAAGCCTCTGGTAATTCCGGCAGGGAGGAGGAGGCCACTTGGTCTCCTCACCTGGCTTTGAGACAGCTTGCTTCTCTAACCCTAGAGCAGAGATGGGAGCACGCCCCGAGCCACTGCGGGTCCTGCCCTGAGCTACCAAGGCCTCGTAAATCGGTCCGGGGTAAAGATGCCAAGAAAAGCCGTTAAAAACTGGAATAATTTTGCTTGCTTCTCCTCATGGATGCTGGGGAGCGGCTGGACTGTGAGCTCCACGGACGGAGGTGCTCGTGTTCGGCCGCTCGCCTTTTGCACGTGTTGTGGTACCTCCGCTGAGGGGGAAGATGCGTATTTTAATCCTGTTGTGGTGGACCTGTATGGTAGTGAAGCAGGCTCGGTCAGCTTTTTGTACTGATGTTGCTGGGTGCGTGCGGCCGATTTCAATCTATCGGATGAGGAAAATGCCGGTGAAGTGATTTGTCGCACGTTGGTGGCTCTGGGAGGAGACCGAAAGGCTCCAGATGGACAGGGTAGCAACGGGCCAGTCCTTCCTCCAGCCCCGGTTGCCAGCTGGAAACAAGGGGGGAGACGAAGGGGTCGGAGCCGGGGGGGATGAAGAGGATTTTTTAATCCTCTAACTTGACCTGCTTATTAGTTAATAACTCAGCTAATCCGTAATCCAGGGGGGAAGCGCTGGGGCCGCTCGCCGAGCTCTCCTCGGGAGGAGCGTGTCGGAGGGGCTGCCGAGGCGAGTGCGTGGGT